GACCTTCAACCTTTGTATTTAGTTTAGTTTTGAAAAGCCTTGTAAGAATAAAATTGAAAATGCTGGAATAAGTTGATATGCTTCAGAATGCTACACTGAATATTAAGATTAAAGCAAAAAATAGTAGATGCAACTTTCAAATCTCATACATGATCACAAGCAGTAGGAACAGTACATCACAGGCAAAGAAATTGTGCTACCCACTGATCTGACAACTTCAACTTATTTTCTCCAATTACTGGCTTAACTTAAAACATCAAATCAGTGATTTTTTTTTTTATATACTGATTTTTATCTGATAAAACATTTACTTTGCCAAGGTGTTACACCTGGTTCACAGTAACTAAGTATTGCTCTGCAACACTGCCTACAGATCAGTATTTAAAACATGTTACACTAGGCCTTCTTCCTTAATAGATTAGCTTACTATTTAATAGTTGTTTTTTCCACATGAACCGAGTTCTAGGCACTTGCACAGATATTTTCAAGAATTATCTGAAGAAGAGCTACTTCCAAGAATGTGAAGCTCTGTAAACTAGTGAGACTGAAGACACAGGCACACACACTCCCCACACACCCCTGCTCCAAAAGCATCAAGTGAAGAAACACTTGTCTTATGAAGTCTGGTACGAATGAATCCAAATTTGATCCTCCTCCAACAGGTAAGAGTTACCGAGAAAGATCTTTAAATCAGCTGCATTAATAGGAAGCTGATTTCAACACTCAAAGCACTCTACAATTTGTATGCACAGCAAGACTGTTTTGAAAGGTGGCATCCCAAAGAATGTGGAGGAGGAGGAGGAGAAGACCTAGCTCAGAAGCAGGATTTCCAGACAAAATGAACATACCTAAGCTGGGATTGGGAGAGAAAGGAGGGCAGAAAACCAGCTTCATCTTATAACGCCTCAATCAAAACAAACTTAAAAAGACGACTGATTCTTCTTCCATGTATTTTTCCTGCCTGCACATTGTTAATAATATTCTCCCTCACCTCTCTAAGGCTCCCTTATAAAGGGAAAGAACTCAAATTGGGAATAATGGCAGCTAGGTGTTCCCAGAAAGCTTCTTTGTACCCCAGCTTCAGAAATGCCCGTCCATCCACCACCAGGTACACTCCATGCAATTACTTCCTCACAAAAACCCCCAAACACATTACCTGCAAATGTGTATTAAGTGTAGTGCTAGGAGTGTTCCGTATCCCTCCAAAGCATTATTTGCACATAGAATTTAAAACTCTAGTTTTCATAGCTTTGGGAATAAATGGAGTAGAGACACAAACCCAGCTATGCACCTTGCCTTCCGCAGCCCGACCTTATTCCTCTCACAGACACTGAAGAAACTATGAGGCGTCCTCAGCACGGGAGAATTCAGATCAGAGTTTAGGGCTCTCAAACACAAAGAAATCACCACCCTCTCATTCTTAACTGAAGGATTCTTCCTGGAATTTCTCATGCACCTTCCTGCCCTGTAATCATCTGTCATGCATTTTAATAGCCTGCTACAAAATCCTGTTGAGAAGGGTATATAATTATGCTCCACTCATGTTGACAACCTATAGGAACAGGGGAGAAAGGGGAGAACAGGGAGAGAAAAATGAGAAATCCAGAATCTCATTGATCTGTCCAAACTGTTATAGCCTCCTTTAAGCAAAACCTTGAACCAATAAACATAGTTGTCCCTTCCCCAAGTGGGAATGGGTACACCGGAAAAATGGCACATTCTTAACTTTGTCTAGAACAACAACAAATGGAAGAAAACTGTTTTTTAAACACGAAAACTTTATTTCAAGCTCCTAACCCATGAGGGGTCCTGCCTGGGCTTTTATTACCTATGAAGATTAACCAAACTTACCTAAACTTAGGTAACTACAACATACCGAGAATTTTATTTTGAGCATTTCAGTAAGGAGCAGCTGGGATACATATAAACGAACAAGAAAATATACTTAACAGACAAAACAAACATTAGAATAACATTTATTTAATCATTGCTTAGGAAACAACGCTGTTGCAATGCTTGATGCATATTCCTACCCTATAGATCTGTGCAGCTGTGGAGTCCCTAAACAAGCACATCAGTCCCGCCCAAAAAAACCCTGTACTTTTGAAAACTTGCGCCAGCTACACATACCTTTTTAGAAGCACAGAATTTGAGGCACAGTTATTCAGATTTGTTCAGTAATAAGTTTTATGAAAATTGTGCGCTTTGCCAGAGTGTACTCCTCCGCTTGCCTTTTTTTTTGTTGTTTTTTTTACACCTATCCTCTAGAGAGATTAGGCAGGCAAGTTTACATCGCTGAAAAGTTACATTTGAGCAGCTACCATCTTCCCACCCCTCATCTCCATTTCTGGCTGCAGGGTCCATTCCCTCTCTGCATGCTTGTGCTGGTACCTGCACAAACAGGGAGCTGACCTTGACAAAAACTGATCACCTTTTCTGAGAACTTGGGATAAGCTCATCTCCCTGGTAGAGAAAAAAGCGTAAAAATAAAAGTCTAAGGCCACTCCAACAAAAACTTCTAGCTAGGGAAGCTGCTGCGTGCTCACAGAGACAGCTCCTTAGGAAAGTGAACCACCTTCCAAAAATATTTGTGAAATTGGCTCTGAACAGATTTAAGTTTAAGCAAGTGACAATACTTAGCAATTCTATCACACTTATGTTTCCTGTGTGGTAATTCAAAATATTAGGGAAGCGAGCAAACTGCAATTATTACACTTAGAAATACAATCATTTTCTCTTCCACTCCTAGCCTCAGTCTGACACAACAGGAAGTATTTTCTTTTTCTGAATCGCTTTTGGAGGCTTCCATCATTCTGTTTCAACAGACATCCTTGGAAGGATGAACGCTTACGCATTCACAGAAAATGTAACTTGGAATATATGAAGTGTGGATCTACTGTTAAAAGAAGATGAACACTGTTAAAAGACTAAAATTTAGGCAAAACTGATCAGCAGACTGACAAGATGGAGTATTTCAGGATAAAAGAAGGCGTTTTGCTGTAAAAAGCGGGGCGGTTGAACAGGAAAAAAACCTCAGCTGCCTCCGGTGAGCATCTAAACAACTAAGGAACAGTCAGCTATTAGTAGGCTGGCACCGTACGACAGAAAGACGGTTCGTGGAGCCAGCAGGGCTGCTGTGCCGCTGCTGGTAACACCCTTGGGACGCGTAGCTCCTCCATACTGTAATGTTTGATCCTTAACTTTCACAGAACTATGCTCCTACAACCCGCTTCCAGAAAGAAGGGGCTATTCCAACACACGCAAGCTCCATCGCTTCCTAGACTTTAAAACCCATTAAACCATTTAGCTGACTTTCCGGTCAGGCGGCCGGTGTAACCGGGCACGACGACCTGCGCCCGATCG